ATGCTGACAAAAAAGGATATACAGCAGCATGCTTATCTTTTTCCTTCCCCCTCCCAGTGACCCATATGTGAAAGTGACAGCTTATGATCCGGCGAATGGAGTCCTTACCAGTGTTCAGACAAAAACTATTAAAAAGGTTAGCCATCTAATCGTTGTGGGTGTGGTGGTTTTTTATCAGGCTCTAGAGGAAAAGTTAATACTACAGGAAATATGAGAATTAATGTCACTTGAATGAACGGAATGGGGAAAGGAATGTTCCATGACCTGCTCTGTTTCCATGTTTATGGCATTATTTTGGTCTTTTCAATAACTATAGTGAAAGGTAGAGAAACACTAAAGAAGATGAGGTGAGTATGGATTTGAAACTGTGCAATTAATGGAAAAAAAACAGATTTTTCTGATTTTGTGGGATCTTTAATGATACAAGTATCTCTGTTGCTGTACAACTTTTATATCTTGGTTCAAACCATAAAACTGATTGGTAGTGTTTAAATATTAAATAGCACAGTCCACCTGAGCCATGATACTACTGCTCCTTTCCTGAGAATATAGGCAAGAAAAAGTCAGTATTGGCAATTTATGTTAGATTAAATAAAAATGAAGAGTTGTATACATGAGAGGTAAAGTACTCTTCCAAATCGTTGTTCAGGTAGTGGCTGTGATTTATGTTGCAAGATCACTTGTGCATTTTCCCATAGTTAATTCATAGTTAAATTAACATAAATTGTTAATTTAACTATGATGAGAGTTCAAAATATCTCTGGTATTTTTAAAAATAGCCACAGTTGAAAGATGTGTTTAGTTGAGCAGGTTATACAGTGTATGGCCCACCTGTGCCTGGACTGTCTAGATTACAGTGTTGAGAGATTTGGCATTTGCTAAGAGTTCATAATTTTTATGTGCAATATCAAGCTTAAAGCTTTTGTACTTTAAGTGGGTTGTTACATGGGATAAAACAGATTTGAAAGATTCAAAGCATACACCAAAACCAGAATAACCAATACTGTCTTCTTATTTTTTTTTCCTTTTGTCTAACCACTCCCTGCCATACAGTCCTTAAACCCAAAGTGGAATGAAGAACTCTTATTTAGAGTAAGTGTTTTCTGTAACCTTATTACTGATGTTGGATATTATATTAGCACATTAGGAAAAATGTTTTATCACTACTTCAGCTTAAAATTGGAAATATGTCTATAATTAATGTGCAGAAAGGTTCAGAGACTGCTTTTCTGACAAATACATTTGCCAATGTTTTTATTTATACCAGAGTTGGATTTTTAGTCTTGATGTTATCTTTATTCCATGAATATTTAAAAACATGGAGTTAAAAACAGTTTGGGGTAGCACCTGTCTTAGCTTATTGTTTCCATTAGAAATGTGTTGCATAGTGAATGGCAACAAGATGTAGATTTTCTGTTTAATTTGGTTCTTAAGCATTTCTTTTGTCCTTCATAAACATAGAGATTTTGCTGAAGACAAATGCTGGTATTTGGCATACATTTTAACTGTTAACGTATTTATTTTACCCAGGTTAATCCTCAGAAACACAGACTCCTTTTTGAAGTATTTGATGAAAACCGTTTGGTAGGTTCCATTCTGTTGGTATTGCAATATATGAAAGTCTTGAATGAAAGTAAGCTCATCTGGATTCAACATGGATAAAAACTCCACACCAGCCCCCCCTTAACTTCTGTGATGAAACCTACTTCACTGCCATTACCACACATTGTGATGCTCTGAAGAAGTTATATTATTATTCCTATCTTCTGATGTGCTTTAAGTCATAAAAGCATTGTTCTTTTACAGTGCTTTTCAAATGATATGGCCACATTTTTCAGTGATTTTGAAAGCTCTGCATTGAACATTGATCTTTCCCGCAAAGTAGGTGTATTGAGACACGGTGTGAGCAGCTTCAGTGTGTGAGGAGTGGCAGGAAAGAAAGCGGGTGTGCATTTTCTTTGGAGAACTTGACAAGTGGATGGTGGTTTGTGATCTTGTACATTGGTGTCACTGTCTGAATGGCAGGTCATAAGACAGGGATAGCTTGTGCATTTATTTTCTTGGTGAAATCAAAACTCCTTCTCTGCCCATGCTCATTTTACTGTGAAGATATCTACTTCCCTATCTTTCTGTCTGTATGTTTTATTGTAAATGAGTAAGGCTGGTAGCAGTACAGTCATGACAGTTGCATCCTTGGGCTACTTCACAGACATTTCTTATCACTTGAATGTATACCTTTACCTTCTGCAGTAGTTTGAAATTAATAGGAGGGGTTGAATGTTCTTTAGTTTGTTCTCCAAGCACAGTTTCATTCTGATAGCTGTTATAAAGGATCTCTTTGTGCTTGAATAGTGTGTTGGCTGTGAAGAATATTATTTTTTTTCTTCACGCTTTCTATGTATATTCAGTAATCCATTGTATCTGTGAAAGTCACAAAGAGTGAATGAAAATGTATGTAAATATAAACACAAAATGTCAAGAATAATTATATAGAAGAGGCGTGTTTCTTGGTTATAGGCATTACACAGTGCCCAAACCATTTACTTCTTGACTGGTGGTATTACCTGTCCCAGGTATTGCAAATATGGTCTCTTCTTTTATTTTTTTAAAAAGTAATTTAAAGGGAATTGTCAGCATTTGTGGCCTACATGGCAAGTTAAATAGGATTTTTCAGGATGCTCAGATGTTCACCTCAATATGACTTGGGCTACAGTGTATTCATGAGGTTGAAGTGCTTTGTCCATTAGTCATTGGAACATTACTGCCACCGCCTGGAAGTCAGGAAGCATGATTAGAAAGTCAGGTTCCTGATTTTTTTTGGAAGAAGGCCAGTGCTTTCGTTGTGGTTTACACCAAGAGAATTCTGTAGCATTCTTTATCTAATCTAGAGTAGATAAGTTGTTAGGCCTGTTTGCTCAGGGGAGAGGAACCAATAAAACATTTTACTGGCATCAACTTGGAAATGGTGTTTTGTTTCCTGTATATGATTATATTTAGAAATCAAGGCATTGTGACCCCATCAGTCACTGTATAGTTCTACAATAACCCCAATATTTTTCATCTTTTCCTCCTCCTCACTTAGTGAATGGAAAGGCTGTCTAGCTATTTCTCTTTAGCTTGCTCTCAGAAACGCTAAGTTTCTATCCCAGATGTCTTGAGCTGTTTTAAATAAGTCAAATTGTTGCCTTAGCTGTGATTTGTTGTTTAGCTTTGACAGGCTCCCCCACTGTAACTGCTGGGAATAAAGTCAAGCCTGAAATCTTTGCTTTTTACGTTTAAGAAATGTTGCTTTCTTGAAAACCAGGCTCAAGACTTATATTGTCTGATGTTAGGTTTAAATGCAAAGTCTTGCTGCACTGGCTGTATCACCAGCAACTGGAGTTTTAAATCTTTCTGTATTAGCTTTAAAACTTTTCAAATACTGCCTGTCTTGGATTTGGTAAAGGGAACACTACACTAAATAGTTTGTTCTATGGGTTTGTTGCAAACCATTAGTAAAATAAAGGGCTTGAGCAGTTTGTGGAATCCTGAGGGATGGTTGTCTTTAAAAATGCATTAGAAAAATCTGTTGGGAAGAACAGTGAGATTACTTACGAGATGGACCAGTGCAGGAAGGGACTGGATGACTTCTTTCTGTCTCTTCCTGTCTTAAAATAACTTGTCACATATTTGTGTATTTCAAAAGAAGTGCCAGATCTGCTGCTGATGCTGAAGAAGTCAATGATGTTAAGATCTGAATGGAACTATTGGTACTTAGGAAAAAAATACTGGTTTTATTTTATTTATATTCTAATTCAGCAAGATGGAATTCTGTATTTTAAAAGCCATCTTGTGTTGACTAAGTACCCTGTAGCTGGCTGGCTATACCTACCCAGTTCCAGCTAAGGAAGAGTGACATGATGAGATGAGGTACTTCCCTTAAATCTTAAGCCTGAGTTACCAAACTATATCAGTTTATTGTTAGAGACTTCTTTATTAAAATTGGAAAAACACTTTGGATCACCTCTTAGGGGAGAAAGGGTTGATTTGTTGGGCAGAAAAGAAGCTTTAAGAAATACATCTATTTACTCTTCACTTGCATATCTTAGGGTGGGTTTTGTGGTTGATTGTGTGTTTGTTTTTTGTTTGTTTGGTTTTTAAATATATATTGCTTAAATTTCAAATATAACTTTTTGAAACTGAGACCAAAAGAATCTTTTATGGTATTTTCCTTTCCTTTCACCCCCCATCCCAGCCCCCCTAAAACATAAAACATGAGAAGAAGTCCAGTTGGCAAAGCATAATGAAATAAATGAGCTATTGTATTTGTTGGCTTTTTATGAATAAGCTAGTATTCATTTATTGCTGCATTCTAATAATGGAATTCAGGTAACAGAGGTTAAGTAAGCCCTGGAGTATCATTAGAAAACAGATTTGTTACTTGCAAACAGGGTACCGTGAATTTGATTCTTGGCCCTTTTTGGGGAAGGAGGTATAAATGTTAATTTTACTGCCTTCTAGCTTAAAATACAGTAAAGGTTAAATAAATATGGAGCAGAAAAAATCTGGTAGTATGACCTATAAAAGTATAAATGGCCTAGTGTTCTCTTCTGTTTGCATTTTCTTAGCAGCGCTAAGTAATTTCGTGTCAGTGCAGTAGCATTTAGTACTGCATCATATGTAGCTTCTGTATTCAAAAGTACATTTGTAGCCACATGTTTGGGGTCACCCCCCTCGCCCCCAGTCAAAAAAAAGCCCACCAAAACCGAACACGCAACAAACAAACACCCAACAAAAAAAAATCCCACTTAAGGTGCATTCAAGATTGTCTTTTTTCCAAAGTCCCACTAGGTGCCAGCAAAGGACCTTATCAGACAACTGGAGCCAGGGAAACATTTTGCAGGAATTCTCAATGCCATTACTCTTGCCAGAGTTGACAGGATATTGGCTTCTTGACATGCTGATCGCTTTTGTTTTAAATAAAAATTAAACCGAAACAAAAAATACCCATGAATGTATGAGTTTGTATCTAATGATGCAGAATTGCTTCTGTAATTGTGCTGGCTAATCATATTTTTCTCTGCACATACTTAGCTTTGTGTGCTAAAATATGCATAGCTGCTTATGTATTTACATGCCATATTGAACTCTAGTGAATGTCGGTTTATTGTGGTCTTCCAGCAAACAAGAGGTAGTTCAGTTTGTAAGAATAGTTTGTTTCTCTCTACCTTTAATAGCTGTACTGTAGAAAGGTTAAGGTATAAAATAAAAGGTTGAAGTGGTAGGTGGAAAACAAATTCTGAATTAGTAATCAGAGTAACTTTTAGTGGTTCTAATTCAGTTGCACGTCACTGAAAATTACAGATTAATTGGCAGGAGAGGTTTTACTACGTGCAAATCTTCAGAAAGTGTGATTGCGTCACAGCATGTAGATTGCGAGGTAGAACCAGGTTTCTTTAAAGTGTTATTTAAATAGTGCAGAAAGCCTTCTTTTTCTTTTTCCTTTGTTTTGTTTTTAAGGGGAAGGAGGCTTATTTCCCTGGTTTATGCATAATTCAGACCTCAGCAGTTTGCTAGCATGGTTACTATTTGGAAATTGAATCCTAGACTTGATACTCAATTATATGGGACTTCATTCCTACCAACTTCCTGTAATTCTAAACCTATGGGTAAAAATATTAGTAGTCATACGCTGCTGAGGAAAGTACGGACACATTGACTCAGCTCATGCAGCTGCAGCAGGAGTTGCTGTTTTAAACTTGGAAGTACTGGAAGTTTATTATTGTATTCATTTATGCAAATTACAGAAGGTATAACTGAAACAAGGTCAGTAGTATTTGTGAGTTGTTGCAGCTGAGGTCGTTGGAACATGAGTGCTTTGTAAATGAATGCTTTTCTGACTGCAAGCCATCAAAGACGGTCCAGAAACTGCAGTTCAACGAGTCGCTGACTTATTTCAAGAGGTACAGTTGGCTTTTTTTTTAACACTAGTATTTTGTAGAAATTAGGTCAAAGACTGCAACTTCTATGGACTTTTACTGCTGTGATGTACTAGCTCTAGGTTCAGTGCAGCTGCCTGTAGCATTTCTGCTGAAGGATCTTTGTGGGTTTCATTTGCTAACATGCATGGAAATGAGAACAAATGGCACGACGGTTAAGATTGCATTTTGCTACCCAAAGAAGCAACACAGATCCATTATCGGAAACCTCTGAAGATGTTTTGGATAGTAACAATTGTATGTACTTCAAAAAGCTGCAGAACTCTGCACCTAATGTTACACAAATGAACCTGACTCCTAGACAGGTTGCTTATGCACCTGTAATGCCACAAGTAATTAATCAAGAGGAAAGTGCAACTGTTTCTTCACTGCAAATAAAAAAGAGCACTTCACTGCACATTTCCCTGCAGTCTAGAAAGTATAGTGGATGTCTTCGGGCTGGTGATGCTGAACCTACTGGTGAAGACACTTCATTCATTGGTATTGCTAATGAAGGAAATTGTGGCGCTAGAATTGTGGTTGATCATCGATCTAATGATAGCCTTCTGAGCAATACTGTTCTGTGCAATGGCAGCCTTAGCAGTATTGCAGCCAGTGACAGTGGATCGTTCAGCAGTGCTGGCAGTGACTACGGATCATGTGCAAGTACCGCAAGTGATGGAGGTTCATATAGTAACAGTGTCATCAGTGACAGTGGTAGTGGCACTCTTTCGACAGGTGATGGTACTTTCTGTAGTAGTATTCATGGTGATTCTTCATATAGAAGCACTGCAAACAAATGTAATCCCTATAGGAGCAGCTCATCTCGAGAAAGTCTGTGTAGAAATAATACTGCTTTTGACCAAGATGCTTTGTCAGTAAGGAAGAAAACTAAAATTCCATTGCGACGTTGTTCATCACTGGTTATTTTTCCTAGGAGTCCTTCCAGTACTCCTCCAGCTTCACCAGTAAGCTCAGGTCAACTACCACATAGAGGGTCCTATCAAACATCCCATAAACTAATTATTTCTCCTAGTGACTTGGCACAAAAAGAAGATCAAACCATTTCCAAAGGATTCCTTTCGACAGCAGTCAATGGACTTCGACTGTCTAAAACAGTTTGCTCTTCTGACGAAGTCAGAGACATTCGACCGCTTTACTTGAATCCGTCTCTACAGGACAAAAGTCAAATTTTGAACAGTTCCAAGCAGGCAACTTGTGAAGAAGTACCTGATGGCTTCCCATGTGTTTCAGTTCATCTCTCTCGAAGAGCATTTGCATCAAGCAGTGAAATGGTTAATGGCTGTTGCAGTCCAGAGTTAAATCTGAACTCCACTGCAAAATACCCTCACTTAAAACTGGCACGTAGCACATCTGCATGTTTACCCTCAAAAATCGATCCAGAATGTCAGATTAATATAAATGAACTAGAAAGACCAAATGCACAGATGAGCAAAACCCACCACGTTTTGCAAAGAAGTGTTTCGCTGGAAGGATCACGTCAAAGAGTTTCTTGCTGTTTATCCAGCAAGTGTCATAGTGGAAGGACATCTCAGTTGCACATACAGTTCAAACCTGGGAATGAAGGAAAACCAACTGTTGTTAAGAAAAGATATGGAACCTCTAAAAGGGAAATGTCTAGTACTTCTTTGTGGAGGCCCCATAAGGTAAGTGTTCTGGTTTATAGAAAAATTTGATAGTATTTTACAGCTGAAATTTAACTAGAAAATAATAAAATTCATAGTCAAGACTTAGATGCAGTGATTTCAGAATTTCCTAATGGTGTCAAGCTGTCACCATTAGGAAGTTAAGTTTTCATGTTATCAGTAACATTTGGGGTTTAGATTTGTTTCTTAGAATATGGTACACACAGTAGCATAGGTGAATAGGTCTTACAGTGAAATACTTAATATATAGAACCAATAATTTCCTGTTTAAATGAACTCGGGGGAATTTTATTGTCTAGTTATGTGGACATGGGAATTCTTTAAACTTCAGATGAAGTTTCACAGTTTTAAATACGCAACTTCTCAGAAAATTAATAGTAATTACTGAAATTACATAAAATGGTTCAAAATGAGTGTGTCACTGTAGAGGCTTTTAGGTTTATTTCATATAGGCTTTATTTTACATGACAGTTTGTATGTAGGTTTAAAAATAAGTAATATTTGAGCAGAGAAACTGTAAATACCATTTGTTTCTGCATACACCCTGAACCACAGGAATTTTCAGAGTTTCCTCTCTTTTTTTTTTTTTTCTTTTTCGTTTTTTCTTCCCTCTCCTTCCAACCACTGCTTCAGCCTGAGCAGTACACTGTAACCTAATACCTCTCCCAACAACATTGCTGTTCAAATTATAGTACTTGGGTCTGGAAGGCTTATATTAAATGTATTTTTCTGGTAATGAAACTCGTGTCCAACTAAACTGCAGAAGTGTGTTTGCTCTTATTAACTCTTCAGGCAGTTTGTTTTCTTAGTGAGGCATAAGCCACAAGAAATGTGGATTTTAAGACTTGTTTAAATAACGTTGTGAAGACCTGAATGATCTGACTAGTATATGTTAGTTTTAATTGTGAATTCTGATAAAAGTGCAACAATTAATGTTTACTGGAATTGTTCTAAGATCTCATTCTCTGTGAATTGACACTACTATAATTTAACGTGCTTGTTTAAGCAAAAGACTTTATGCCAAAGATACACAGTTATGACAGCCCCTTTCTAAACTAGAAGTACAATTACCTTGGAGGTATTAGCTTGTAATTTTCAGTCAGTTGCTGCCCAAAGTGTGTGGTGATTCTACTGTTTTTGATTTCTTAGGAGTTTTGTATCGCTTTTTGGTTGAAAAGAGTTTGAAGAAAAATGTGCTTTTCTTCTTGTATAACTGTGATCTGTGTTTAAGCTTCATGATAAAAATCACAGTGGATCACAGGTAATCATTATGGATACTGTTTGGTGATTCCTCATCCTAAAATCAAACTGTGAATTTGATGGTGACTTCCACAATAAGCACAAACAGGTTATGATGTAATTTAAGTGGCCTGCATCTAGTTATTTTTAATAAGCATATTGTAAAAAGCGAAACATGTTGAGTCATGCACTTCAAGTACATTTCTCGGCAACTTGCACTTCTCTCCTCTGGGTTTAACGTCAGTTGATATGCAAGATATTTTATATGTTAATACTGAGTGAATTTTTAATAAATGCAATTTAAATAGACTCTAAGTTCAGGGACTAAACTGTTGGCAAACATTTCCAGAAACTCTTGCAGGGCACTGGACTGACAATAGTTTGTTTCAATTCCTGGGAGCAGTGTTTACAATGAATTGGCATTAAATCTAAGGAGACTTAAGTTTTTAAAGTGCTTGACAGAATGCTTCTGTGGGTAGTTGAGCATTTTACTGTGGTACTGTAGCAGCATGTTTCAAGCTTCCTGAATTCTTAAGATTTTATCTTCTCACTGGAAGATGAGAGAGAGAAGCTTAAAAATAAAAAAAAAAAAAACCCAGGAAAAAAAAAGTCTGAATCCCAAATTGTTGTGGTTCTCTTGTACTTTTCATATATTTGCAAATATTTTGATTTGTGCCATGTCTACATACATCTGACATCAGACAAACTGGACACAAAAGGGTTTATGGCAGTGTACTTGTTTCTGATTTCTTTATGCAGCAACAGGCATAGGAACCTTTTAGTCCTGAAATGGCCCTTGGAGGATATTTTACAAAAACTGATTTTACTTAAAAACCTGTTATCAAAAAATGGAAAAGCTTCTCACACCAAACCAAGCAAAAAAGCATGGTTGACTTTATAGCAGTTCAGCAAGTCACTGCAATAAAATAGATAAATACTATTTGTCTTTGTGACAAATATAATAGGTTCTATGGCAATCGTTTAATTATATAGTCCAGTTAATTATCGTGGTGTATTGTGACTCATTTAAAAATAAACAACTCCCAAAATATTTCTCTTGACTCCAGTTAGTCTGGCCTAGTATATTGATATGCTGAGTCTGGGTTCAAATTTAACAAGTTGATACTGGAGTAGCATTTAGTAATGTCAGCTATCTGTGCAGAGCAGTCATGAAATCAAATCAGTGCTTTGGCCAGGGACTCCAGAGTCTGAAGCAGCAAAAGGTCTATGCATTCTTTTCTTACATGCCTAGCTACTAGCCTTCAGCCACCTTGTATCAGATTTCCTGCTTTCTATAATCAACAGCTTGTTAAAGGCTGACTTAAAAAAAAAAAAAACAACACAAAACCAAACCCTAAACAACAACAAAACCCCAAAAACAATCCCCCCCAAACCAACCCTACCCACATTTCCATTTCTGTGACAACTGCCCTTGGATTATTTTTAATTAAACTGAAGAATGTGGAATGGTGATGGCCCTCATACAACTGCTGAACTTTACTGGAAACACATTGAATAGATTCTGCAGTAGATGGTGGAATTTCACTTATGCGAAGCAGGAGGAAGAGGTAGTTCATGGTTGCAGCACTGACGGTTGCCCTTGACTTAGTATTTCTGTTCTGAGTGTTTTCTCAGGGCATCTGTCTCTTGCTAAGGGTAGAAATAAATCTGCAGCTAAAGCACTTTGACATCACAGGTGTGAATTGGGAAGGTACAAGTAAGGAAACGGTTTGCGTGTCATCTTAGACCTCTAAACTTCAAGGGGTACAGAGAAGAGCAGAAGCAGTGACTTACAGTTCCACTTCATGTAGACCATAAATAAGCTTAAAAAAACAAACAAAACCTGTGTTAATCTCTTCCACAAGTGTAATAATATTTTGATGACATCCCTGTTGACATCAGCCATTCCTTCCCCATCAGTATCGCTGCTGATTACATAATGTATTTGCAAGTATATAAATGTACTTGCAAATCTGTTTCAGCAACTGTGTACCTTTAAAACAATTTCTTGTACAATTAAGGGAATCATTATGTTATTGTCCTTTTGTTTACAAATAATGTAGTAAAGGTTTGTCTCCAGTGAATGAAATGCACATTTTTGAAGCAAAAAAACCTTCAGAGGTGGTATAGAATAAGCAGAACATTTTTTCTACTGTCAGGTTTGTGTGAAGAAAACCTCTAGCTGGAACTCTCAAGTTTGGGTTTCTTTACCATGTTCTGGAACTCTGCCTTTTGTATTTGTAAAAGGAGATGCTACTTGGATCTTTCAGTACTAAATGTGTATTTTGGACAAAATGTGTGTGAGGATGGCTCTCTTTTCTAACTTATTTCCCAGCTGTTCTGAATATGCTGAGGGGACTGTTCTGAATATGCTGAGAACTTGGCCTGGAAGATACCGATTCCCTTGATAAATGCTGCACCACAAGTTAGCACTGAATAGTCTGAAGTTGTCTTCTCTCTTGGATCCTCTTTAAGTATAGAGCTTTTCTCTTAGCAAAAATCCTTCACAGATGATAATGGCTCAACCAGGGAGAAGTGCCAAGAGAAGGGGAAGACAGCTGTGGCTTGCCTCCATCTTTCCTTATTTAGTAAAGGGGCCACGTGGATGGGGATTGATGTCCCAGATCTGGGAAAAGGAAGTGAGATGGAAAAGGGGCAGGTGAAGCAAAAGATTATAGAGGCAATACAAGACAAAGCACAGATTGACATTTCTCTCTGCTATTGTGCTATGATAACCTCATCACCTAAAAGTTTTCATATTTTTTAGTATTGCGCATCTTGAAGGATCTTAAAACATGTTACATTACATACCTGCCCTTATAAAAAGTCCCTTTCCAGCTTTCTTGTAGGCCTCCTTTAGGTATTTGCTTAAATACAAGTCCATCTTGCTTGAATGCAGAGTTTTGTTACGGCTTCTTCTCCGCATTTCTTCATGCCTTTACTTTTTGATTAGCAGTCCTCTTCAAGGAGAGAAAAAGATTACACACAAAGGATGTGATAAGCCTTACAGCCAGGACTAGCTGCAAACAGTTGCCACGTGGAAGAATTAGCAAAGGAAGCAGTTAATGTTACTTGGTATCGGCTCCATCCCAAAGGTTCTTTTTCTGTCAGTTTTACCAACTTGTATTTGGCAGCAGTGAACCATATGTAACTTTCAGAATATGATCATGCAGTAAGGAACAGTGTCAGGGCAGAACACTTGAATAACCCTGTAAATCAAAGCCTGAGCACTTTGTAGTCACCAGCAAACACTGTGTGTACATTAAAGGTAGTTTTATTAGACTGTACTCTGCAGAAATTGTGATTAACCTCTTTGTGTTTATAGCCTGCAGCTGAACTCATTTGGGTAGGTTTTTCATGCTAACAAAAGTGGAAACTAAAACTGCAAAACCATGCAGAGCAGACCTCCTGAACGGCTTAGATAAATATTTAAATTATCCAGCCTTCAGGTTGTTTCATCTCCTTTTCATCTACCAGGAGAGAATGGGAAGCATTGCTTGTGTGGCTTTAATATAGCCACAAGCTATAGTTATTTTGTCTCTTAAGACTCAGTATATAGTTAAGAATGTGTTAAAGTAAAACTTGTTCCCAAAGTAAGATAGAGATACTCTTCCTTTTACACGTGACTAGCCAGTAACTTGGAGGCTTTCAGATATGAGGCCATGGTAGTAGATTATTTTTGTTTTCTGTGAGAGGTTATATTAATGGTTTGGGTTAAACGAAAACATTTCTTGGAAAATGTTGTGGTGATGTAGAAATTG